AATAAGGCTTAGCAGGAACTGCTCAATGGGCCATGTCAATATTTAAAGTGAGATCTCTGATTTCAGTGCCTTTTTATGCTACGATAGAGATGAATACGAAAGTGTCCATTATGAGCCACCCTATTCATCTCTAGCTTGTATCAGATGACCTTTCTTTTTGATATGAAATGACTTGTATTTGTGTTGTTTGTAATATTTTATAAGATTATTAACTTTTCAAACATAGACCATCAGTCAAGGAAATCCAGTGTAAATTTTTTTTTTTTGAAAAAGATGAATTCTGAAAGTATCTGCTTTATTGTGAAGGCAATATTACTTACACAGTGTTTTAGGCAAATCAACAGACCTACATAAATTTCTTCTTTTATAACTACACTGCTTGTGGGAAGAATCAAAGAAAGTAATATCCATAATTATACCTTGATGGACTATTAATGAAGAAATCATACTTTCCATAATAAGACATGTTCCATGTTTCAGTTAGAGAAATACAGGTAAATTACCAACAGAAACAAACAAAAAAAATCCCTTAATATTTCACAGCCCCATGCAGAAAACGACTTCTTTTTAGGCCACATATGTTTTATTGAAAAATAATGTGACTTTAGAAAATGTAGGTAATCAACATTGTTTCAAATACAGTTTTAAAGTTTGCTATTAATAAGGAGGAACACTTTCCTTTCTCTGTGAAGTAATTCTTGCACCAAACATAGTATATCTGCTCAATTAATGATTTTCAAATTAATGTATGAATCTGTCTTGATTTTCTGAAAAACAGAGATCATTAGTCAGCTGAATTAGTCAGATTCAACTGGATCATATATTTGGCAAATACAGTAGGCTTCAAAATTGGAGTTAAAAAGAATTTTTTGTTGTTGTTTGTTTGTTTGTTTGTTTTTTGTATCATTGGGATATCTGCAGGAATATACAGCCCCGTTCTCCACATGGTACAAAGTAGCTGGGCTGAGGTTAAGGAGACTGGGCATGTGGCCTGTTTCTCACAGGCCTGAGTGCTTGCTCTAGTGTAGTATATGGTCTACTTCACACACATGCATTAGTTCCCTGGCAATAGCCTTTGTGACTCGCTGAGTGAAGTGTTACCATGTTATTATCATCATTCAATGAAAGGCCTGTCCCTCATCATCATCAACCATCCCCAACAACAGACTGCCTGATAAATATTGAGTCATCTTTTAAAAACTCACAAAACTGCCCAAGTATTAAATACCCTATACCATGTACACTTATTGGTAGATGTACATCTTCTTTAAAGTGTTGTAACTTTAGCTTCACTTGGATTCTCTATGAATTACAAACTTTCCAAGATCATCCCATCATCTTCACTTCTGTCATCTCAGGACCTACCACAGTAGCTGAAGGATTCAAAGAGGTCTCCTGTGTTAGATGGTGGTTAAATGGCTCACAAAGCGTAGGGCCTCATAACCTCAGACCATTGACAAATGTTCCGGGACAACTTTAGTTCTTCTTACAGTTCAAGTTTTAGCTTGGGCATGATTAGTTCCTACAGATACAACTATGTAACTTATGAAGAGTGCTGTTATCCCTGCTATTTGTCTCTTAGCATCCTCTACTCTTCTCACAGTATTTATATTATCTTTCCTTGATACTCTGTCTTCCTTTCCTATCATAACTGCAATTTCCTTAAGGAAAAAAAAGCCATGAAATATTTATGGCTACATCCCTATCATGGAGCACAATACTTAATACAGGATAGAGACTCAGCAAATGTTAGCAGAATTTAACTTAATTAAATTAACATTTGGAGTTTATTTGGCCGAAATGTGGCTATAATGTAACCGAGTCAGATGCTTGTTCTTGTTGGTTACCAGAGTTGGAGAGATTTTAGAAAACTCCAACAGAAGGTCTTAACAAACAGGTATAATGAAATTCAAACAGATGGTCAGCAATTATGCCAAGTCCATTCTGATTTTGATTCCTTAGCTAATTATTATGGTGAGCCCCAACATGGATATATTTTGATAGCCAAAATTACCATCGTTCACTACATTCATTTTTGTGAGAGCCAAGAAATCAGTGAATGTGGATTCAGTTGGTTTACATGAGCAGTTTTATTTGGATTTTTTTTTTAAAGATTTTATTTATTTATTTGACAGAGAGAGATCACAAGTAGACAGAGAGGCAGGCAGAGAGAGAGAGGGAAGCAGGCTCCCTGCTGAGCAGAGAGCCCGATGCGGAACTCGATCCCAGGACCCTGAGATCATGACCTGAGCCGAAGGCAGCGGCTTAACCCACTGAGCCACCCAGGCGCCCTTTATTTGGATTGAATAAGCAATTTGGTTGGAGGATTTAAAAATTATTAATTTTGCTAAATCCTCAATCATTTTTTTAGCGATTATTTGTAGAGATAGAATTTATTTTGTTTTTGCCTGGCCACCATCTGACACAGAAAGATTTTGCCTTGCATAGTCTTGTCTGTAGAAACCTGGTACAGTTTTATGCCTGTCATTGAAATAATTTTTCTATTGTTTTTCAAGTGATTGTAAGTATTTTGTACTTTAATCTGATTTCATGATCACAGAAACACTGAGGAATGGAATAGCCCCAAGGGAGCTTTTCAAATGACAATGCTCAGACGCCCCCCTCAAAACAATTAAACCGCAGTCTCTGCGAAGTAGATCAGAAAATAGATTTGCAGTATTGACAATAGATATTCTACTATCATTTCAGCATTTTGATTCTGTTCTATTTACGTTTTATAAATTTTGAGCTGAAGTGCTACTGGTTGCACCAGATACTGGGTGTTTAATAATTCCTTTTTTTTTTTTTTTAAAGATTTTATTTATTTGTTTGAGAGAGAGAGAGAGAGAGAGACAGAGCATGACAGGGGAGAAGGTCAGAGGGAGAAGCAGACTTCCTGCTGAGCAGGGAGCTCGATGTGGGACTCAATACCAAGACCCCAGGATCAAGATCTGAGCTGAAGGCAGTGGCTTAACCAACTGAGCCACATGGGCGTCCTAATTCCTCTTTACAAAGTGATTCATTCATAGTTTAGGGTCAGACTATTGACACAGCTTCAAAACTCTTCTCTGTACCCTAGATTCTTGTTAGCACTTGGCACTTTAAGGTGCTCCCATGTGAAAATGTTTAAAGCAGGTCAGTGGTAGGTCCTATGGATAATATGAAAAGAGAGTCAAGCATTCCATTTGGTTATTGAATAATGTTAGCTTTATTATTAGAATAGAATACAGTATGACATAAAATTAAGAGCTTTTGCTAAACTCTGTAAAGCAATACATGCATCTGCCATAAACAACCTCGATTCATGTTGGGTTTTATTGCCACTTCACTGCACTAAGGTGCAATAAACATTCAGTGTCATCTTTTAAAAAATGTTCCTGGGAGTAAACAGGAACTGTCCTCTATAAGAGTGTATCTTTATTTTCAAGGAAGACTTAACTAGTATTACATGGTTTAGCAAAGCACTGTAGAAAAGCTACATAAAATAATTTGTCTTTGATAAATTGTGCAATCAATTTATACAATAGAATACTATCCACACATACTAACAAACTAAGAAATGATAGAAATGCAATCATTGCATAGCAGAAAGCAGACTAATAAGAAATATTCACATCTAATGAGCAAAATACAGACAAAATGTTAGCCATGAGGAGTCTGGAAGGTAAAATGCTCTTAATAAACACATTGAGTTAACGCCGAAAAAGAACAGATATAAACAGCAACACAGAGGTTAGAGCCATATTTCATTTTATTTTCTACACATGATATCTACACATGATACCAGAGGATGAAACGTCCTTGGTTCAGTCTTTATTGGCCTAGCTCATTCAATTTAGGCAGGACCAAATCAAACAATAAAGCACATTTAAAAAGAAAACCAGAGTTTGTTTAGGAAAACACAAACTGTTTTTTCCTATATCATTGGATAGCAGCTTTTTGAAAGAAACATTGCTCAAAACTTGGGTACAGATCCCAATAGACTTATTTGGCAATTATGCTGATAGGTTTATGTCGTAGTATTCTAAATGTGGTTAGACTATGACCTGCGGATTCTGGATGCTAATTTTAAACATCTCTGAAATTCTATCAGACAAAAGGAGACTTCAAAAATACCTTCTGCATAAATATTCATCTCTAAAACATCTGGGAAGTAATGAAACAGACCAGAATTTTTATAGGGAGTATTAATGGACCTCTTGTAGTTAAAGCCCTTACATAGTAAACCTACAAATATATTGCTACAGTATAAATGAAATGTAATAATGTTACTCAATAAAAGCTATTTCCTGTACATTCTTTCATGTGTTTTTATATTTAATGCTACATATGGTACAACACTTATTGAGATAGTTGGTATCAGCAATTATAGCAATATTATACAGCTGATTTTCTAGCTCCAACTAATGCTTTTCCATTTTCTCTCTATATTATAAGAGCCTCAAATAGGGAAATGTGGCATGACCTGAGCAGAGAGCAACTGATTTACTACTGCACACTGGATGATAGTTTACAATTATAGGCTTTCTCTATATAAGTGGACTTTATACCCATCTATTTTAAATTCCATCTGATTCCCACAGGCTGTTCTGTTTTTAATGCAGGCTCTAAGGTATTTCTGTAGCACTTCACAACATTCTAACAGCTAAGAGCGGTGAGTCCTACACAATATTGTAAGAACACAACTTTAAAAAAGTAAAAAATGTACAATCTCATGCTGTATATTTACATACATAATTTATATAATAATCTATATTTACTAATCATAAATTTCAATCTAAAGCTTTTAATGTATTGTTATATAAAATAATACATTCAACAATTCTAGAGCTTGCAAAATATGTTTGCCCCTCTGAAAACATCTTTTCGTAATGAGAATCAAGTGATCATTGGACCCATGTGCTATCTGCATATAGACAGGGTGGCAAAGGGAGTATTTTTTAATTGTTTTATTTATTTATTTATTTTTTAAGTTTTTGGTTTTAATGAGTGTATGTCTCTGTTAAAATGATTCTTCATTGAATCTAGTGATAAAAGCTCAGATGATGGTGAAGTAACCTATTTATTAAACCATTTCTCTCTTTTGGATTAAATGTGGTTAACAGTAAGGAACTGCATGTTTGCCTATGCAATTTTCATGAATTTTAAAATAGCCTTTAACAACAGAATAATGCATTAGCCATTTTTAAACAGAGGAAAAAATGGGGATCTTTAGCTTTGGAAACAAAGTGTTAAAGCTATACATCATTTTTAAAAACAAAACAAAATGTAAACCACACTGCAGTTTGTGCAATAAAGACATAGATTTTTAAAATTTCATTAAACATTTATAATTTATTCCTTGAAACACCTCCACATAAAAATATTTTTGACATATACAGTATCTCTCTCTCTCTCTCTCTTTTTTTTTTTTTTTAGAATACTTGGAAATATATATCTACAAATGACCTGGACTTAATAGAGTTAAAGTTTTATTTTCCTTCTACTTTTCCTCTTAGCCTGGACCTAGTCCCCCACCTTTCCTCTCTCTTCCATTCTGTCTCCTTCTGTCATGACTTTTCTCTCTTGCTTCCTCTCTCAGAATCCTGTCTCTCAGCTGTATGCTCTGCTTTGCTCAGGACTGCTGGACAGGGGTCTGTTGTTCTTGTATGAATTACGGAAATAAGGAAACCTTCAAATTCTTTAAGACAGAGGCAATAAAGCAGGTGGGAATCACTGCGTTAAGAACAGAAAGCAATTCCCAGTGTAGAGGACTGAACAACAGAATGTGAATGAAAGGACCTATTGATGTGGGGTGGGGGCTTTGAGCTGAGGCTCTCTGTTTAAATATGTAGCCCAATAGACCAAGTTAAAGATTCCAAATAGCAGCGGGAAAGCTATTCTTGACAGTCGGTCAATTTTGCTGACGCTGTTAAAGGTTTTCTTGGGTTCTGGTGGTTTTGTTTCCGGCTTGACTTCTTTTGGTTCTATGGTTGCACTTTTAGCAATGGTGGCTAAGCCAGGGTCACCCCTGGCCAAATTAGGGGTGTAACTGGTTGCTGTTGGAGCATAAGTGTTGTTTTTCTTAATGAGAGGATCCTTCACTTTCTTTGGCTGTAGAAGGAAAGAGTAAAAGCATTTTGTTCAGTCAACTGTGGGAAGGAAGTTTATAAGTTGCTGAGCAAAGTGACCTTTACTTTGGAACCCAAACCTATTATTTGTTTAAAATGTGAGAAATGTGATATATGACTGTATTATGGAGATAATTTAAAAAAGCAGACACAAATGCCCAGTTATAAAATTGACAAGTTTGGGCATCGACCATACAGCACAGTGTTTACAGCTAATAATACATATTCTGGACTTGAATGTTGATAAGAATAGGTCTTAAATGTTCTCAACCCCAAAAAAGAAATGGTAACTATGTGACAGGATGAAGATGGTAACTGATGCTATGGTAGTGATGGCTTCACAATATATAAGTGTATCATATGAACCACACTGTATACCTCAAACTTACACAATGTCATGTGTCACGTATCTCAATAAAGCTGGAAAAAAGTACCCAGTATTTTCCTGGCTTTCCCATCAGGAGGTGGAGTGAGATGATGCCAGTTTAGGAGCCTATTCTCAAGAAGCTTTGTAGCCTCAGCCTTTATCCTCTGGAGACATACTACTGCCTCATGAAGAAGTCTGGACTGGAAAACTGGGTGACCAGACATCACGTGCACTGAGAGGCCCAGCCAGTATCAGGCCCCAGACGAATGAGTGGCTACTGCGGATGATCTCCCCCTGGTGGAGCTTCTTGTGTACTGCAACCATGTTGCTGAGCCCATAGTCTACTAATGGAACTACCACCAAGTTGTTCCCAGCCCCAAAGTGGTGGTTTAAGGCACTAAGTTTTGGAGTGGTTTGTTTTACAATAGTAAGGTGCTGAACTAACTATTATTTGCTCCTTCTCCCCATGTTGCCAGTGGGCAAATGATCAAGTAGAGTTATTCAGGGTATCCCGAAGTCAGTTCTTGTTCCATGTCAGCTGCTTGCCCATGTTACCTGTACAATGAGTCACAACTGCAGCATTTCTTGGGGTTTCTGTCATAAAGAAATTTCTAAAAACTGAAGCAGATCATTGTTTACAGCTATGTGGTCTGATACAGTTGCCACTAGTCACTTGCGACTATTGAGAACTTGAAATGTGACTAGTGTGTAAGTATAAAATATGTATAGGATTCTGAAGGCCTATTATAAATATAATATTTTTGGTATACTGGTTGAAGCATATTAATAAGTCACTAATTCTACACTTGAAATTAGTATGATACTGTACATTAACTAGAAGTCAAATAAAAACTTGAGAAAGAAAAGAAAGAAGAAAATTTAGTTTCACTGGTTTGTACTTTTTAATTAAGGCTAATTAGAAAATTTTAAATTATATATATGGTTCACATTTGTGACTCACATATTTCTGCTGGACAGCACTGGCCTAACAGAGTAGTTCTCTTTCTTTTGTGCACACTAAACCACTAGCTAAAAATTTTTAAAGGGCAAATCTCTTGTGCACAATCTCATATTTTGAATCAGAATTCCTCAGGAGCAGAGTCTGGTTACAGAAACTGCAAAAGGGTATACGGAGAATACTGATGAGCCACTAAACTTGACCAACCAGACTCAATGCTCTCTGGAAAATTTGTATTTTTATTATTGAATCAGAATAAAATATCACTACCAGAAGACCTGCTGCTTTTCACAAGGCACACTAGTCAGGAATTTAAACAGTTTAATTTTTTTTTTTTTTTTTTTAAATTATCCAGCCCTGTGACCTGCGATTTTTTCCCCCTCTCCAAATCCTTAAGAATTATATTAGGACATGACAAAAAGCCCAGAATTTTTTCTTTCTAGTAACGTCATTAAAAGTAAGGCCACTTAGGGGCACTGGGTGGCTCAGTTAGTTAAGCGTCCAACTCTCGGTTTTGGCTCAGGTCATAGTCTCAGAGTCCTGAGATCAAGCCCCGCATCAGGATCCCTGCTCAGTGTGGAGTCTGCTTGAGATTCTCTTTCTCCCTTTCTCTGCCCCTCACCCCACTCATGCTTGCGCTCTCTCTCTCTCTCTCTTTCAAGTAAATAAATAAATCTTTTAAAAAAAAGTAAGGCCACTTATGTACTCCTATTTTATAGTGAAGACAGATTTGGTTAAGCTTTTATAAAGAGTGACAGAAATTTCCATAATTATTTGTACAAAAATAATGCAAGTAAAAGTGATTCTCTCTTTCAATGTCAAAGTGACTACAGGTCAAAAATAGATATGGTTTAGTATGTCACACAGGGAAAGACTAATACCATATAATTTCACTTACATGTGGAATCTAATAAACAAAACAAATGAATAAATAAACACAAAGCAGAAAGAAAGAAAACCATAAATACAGAGAACAAATTATTGGTTGCCAGAGGGGAGGGCACAGGGGTGGATAGGCAAAATGGGTGAAGGGAAGTGAGAAATACAGGCTTCTGGTTACAGAATGAAAACATCATAGGATTAAAAGGCACAGCATTAGGAATATAGTCAATGGTATTGTAACAGCATTGTATGGTGAGCATTGGTAGCTACACTTGTGGTGAGCACAGCATTAATGTATACAGTTGGGGAATCACTAGGTTGTACACCTGAAATTAATGTAACACTTTGTATCATCTTTACTGGAATGAAAGAATAGATATGGTTTATTTCAACACAGTTAAACAGCCAAACTGAACTTGTGTTAGTCCATTTCTTAAAAATAAAAGTTCTAACATTGCAGACTACGTTAAAAACCATGCATGTCCTTTAGATAAAATGTTTATGTACTCTATTGTGGAAGAGAGGCAATGGGTTCCAATATAATCAAAACTTGTTGAGTGAAAGACATTCTGTTAGATAAACTGAAACAAATAATCTGCAGCAGGAATGATTCTTGGAGAAGAGTTTATATTATTGATATATTTCATTTTTCCTAGTCTCAAATTATTATAATACTCCCAATACTAATGCTTCTCAAGTTAAGAACTTTTTTTTGCAACATCATGTTGAATACAATATTGAGAAATATGTGGTTGGCTTATCAGGAAAGAATACTTAATTATCTTTCTAAATTTTTGAGAATGTTGAATTCCCCCATATTCTTTAAGAAATTGGTATTTCTTTTAGCAATTTACCATATGAATATGGATCTTAAGCAGGCTCCTGAATCCTCAGTTGATAATGAGATGACTTACAGAAATTTGCTTTTTAATTTCAAGTTATACCATGTTAGAGACTGAAAATTTAACTCTCCTGAAAACACTCACCTGGGTCATAGAAAACATATTTTATTCATCTTCTCTGAATGTCAAAATGAGACCTGGATCACACTGTGCTCACACTCCCTGATATAAGCAAATGAAACTGGCAAAACCCTGGGGAAGATTATTTTAGAGGCATAGATAATTTACAGAAAGTGTTATCTTTCTCATTAGGATGAGCTTAGATGAATTACTGATAAATATATATGCATATACATAGATAGGATAATGACACTACCTACATCTATATTTATATGCTGAATAACATGGACTGTAGATTGATGGAGATCAGAGTATTTCTGATGAGACACAGCACTTGAAAAAAAAAATACAGGGTCAGACAGAGATAAATATAAAGTGGACTGTGAACTCAACCAATGCCTCAATCCAAATTGTATGTTTTTCAGACCAAATTCATGATATTGATACTGACACTGATGAGCAGAATCAGAAAGACACTGGCCTCTTGCAACAAAGAAAGTATTCAGCTAGAAAAGCAATTTTTCCCACGGTTGGCATATCACTTTTCAGTTGTCTATCACCCACGTTTGTGTACCATTAATTCTGAAGCACTTTAGCAGACGATTTCCCCGATTCTGAGATGTGCATTTAAAAATGTTCACATTTGTGACTCTGGGCTATGTCTTACACTTTGGTCGTGTCTTATGATTAACTATTTTCCATGTTTGGCTCACTCTCCTTTGGGCTGCCCTTTTGTTCTAGTACAAATGGAGACCATCAATGGCTAAAGTACGTATCTGACTGTCACTCTGTCCTCACTCTTTCACTCCTCTCTCCAACTGGTAAATGCGAATCCCTTCATCTTGTCCTTTCTCTCTACTGAACCTGAGCCAAGGTCCTTGGTTTGCAAATTAAGAGAAAAAAAAATTTTTTTTTTCATACTTCGCAAGTATGTTTTAAGACAGTGAATATCGAGGGCCTGGTTCAGGTTCTGTTGGCTGTCATAATGCATTCTACACAGACTTTCTTTTGCTTTTACTTGTGTAGGAGACCACTGGGGGGTTCAGCTGATTCGTCTGTGCCTGAGGGGCAAATCTAAAGGAGCTTTTCCTTGTCAGCCTCTTTTCTTTCCTACTTATGCATGTATTAATGGCCCATCCTATAATAGGTAACACTTTAAATTAGTTTAAATATGGTAGAGGTTTCCACCACAAAGGATTCTCTTTTCTAGTACATCTGTGGAGCCCTGAGAAAAATACCATAGTTAATCTCTTTACTATAAACCCTTCCAGATTCTTGAATATCCTGAGACTCTGTGATATAGAACGCGGCATTATTTGGGAGTATTCAACCAGACTTTATTCTTAGGGACTAACTCATGATACTAGTACTCTGAGGAATAGAATTTTGGGAAAAAGCTGCTATAGAGTGATTCCTCCTAGATTATTTCTAGACATCTTACAATCTCTGTGTCTGACTTTGACCTTCTTTCTACCATCCCAAGACTCACTTGCATTTTGACATATTTTTCCTTCAAGCCATAGAAGTAGAAATATCCTCACCACATGTGCTTTAAAATACATTCCAAATTAGGTTCTAATTTAGAGAAACAGTAATGAGCTTGACTTGATAATTTTCTATAATGAAGAATTTTTCTGTGATTTGTGTATGATCCTTAAAGCAAACCTTTAATTTGGAAAGGAAATATATTTCCTGTCCTTTACTTCACTGAAATTGGAGATAATACATTTTGTAAACTAAGTTCAACAGAGACATTAGAGTTAATAATTTTTATGATCAAAGTGATTAAGCTCTGAAAACAACAAAAAGACTATTATTTTCAAGTTCAAATTACAATGGCATAAATTTATTTGCACCTAATGTCAAGTTGATTAAAACTGTTCTTAAATCAATAGAGACCCAGGAAAACATATTTGAGAATAAATGTTTACGTTCATCTCTCTTTTATCTCCTTCACTCTCCTCTGCACATCGGCCCACTTAAAACAACCTCTCTCTTTAGCAGTACCAAAATTGCCACAGCAGACAGTCACTTACGATTTAAGAAACAGAGAATCCTCATTACTCTGTGTCTGCACTCTTCATCCATTTCCCAAAGTCTAAACATGCCATCTCGCAGGTTGAATAAAACATACCAGTGACAGATCATAGGGAATATTAAAGTACTTACCTTTTCTGGAACCACACTTTTGCCATCCCATGCATAACCTCTCTTGGTGAAATAATTGACTGTGGCAAACTCGATCAGAGCTGAGAACACAAAGGCATAGCACACTGCAATGAACCAGTCCATAGCAGTGGCGTAAGCCACCTTAGGGAGGGAATTTCTGGCACTGATACTCAAAGTTGTCATGGTGAGTACAGTTGTTACTCCTGTAAAGAAAAAAATTAAGTGAATCTGTGGGTTCACATCACAAAATTTGATCACTGAAGGTCAGCCTACTTGTGCAAAGGGAAACCAGCAGGACCATAGGTGCCCCTTTCATAGCTTTTTTAAACCATCCAATATTCCCTAGTTTTCCATGAATTTTAAGGTAGATGATCTTTGTAACACTTCCTACGTTAGGAAGTGATAAGATTAAGAAGAAACACAGAGACTTCTATTAAATCATATTTTTGATACACTATCACAGATGTAGGGAATGGACTTACTTTAAACTTTGGAGATTTTACAGAAAGTACTGGGGCATTACCTGTATTATATAACCAACAAATGGTTTAAGAAATAGTGACTGGTAAACAGCCCTTAAATTTACATATCAATATTAACATGAGCAAAGAGCAAGGTACTTAAATGTCAGTATTTGAGGAACAGAACAACCCAGTTTCAAATCCCAGTTCTTTAATTGCTGAATGACCTTGGGAAAATTGCCTCACAATTCTGAACTTCTGTTGTTTTTTTTCTTTTTAAATTATTTCTTGGGGCACCTGGGTGGCTCAGTGGGTTAAAGCCTCTGCCTTCGGCTCAGGTCATGATCCCAGGGTCCTGGGATGGAGGCCCGCATTGGGCTCTCTGCTCAGCAGGGAGCCTGTTTCCCTTCCTCCCTCTGCCTGCCTCTCTGCCGGCTTGTGATCTGTCAAATAAATAAATAAAATCTTTTAAAAAATTATTTCTTTATAAATTAATAAGTCTAACTCAGAGGGCTATTATGAGTATTAAATAAACTACTGTAATAAAGTGTTTAGCACTGAACCTGATACCGAACAAAGTTAATGGCTATTATTATTGACAACTTCAGTCCTTGTTAATAAATCTCTGCTAGAGTGAATTCCATTTTTTTTTTTTTCAAAATTTGGTTCATGTAGGCAACTGTCAGAAGTGAATTTGGAAATGTATGCTCTTAAACTAAATGTATCCATAAATTAAGAAGGGCATAAAGAGAGGGGTGTGTGTACGCGCATATGCGCGTGTGCTTATGTTTGTTGTCTTACAATTCCTGCTATAAGGACAGGGAAAAGGACAAAAATGTGTTGAGCATCTACTGAGTTCCAAGAATTCAACCTGATAATCTACATATTTTATTTTATTCTTCTCAATCTTTTAAACAGCACTATTTTACTTTAACTGTACTCTCATTTTATAGGCAACTGAATCTTTTTTATAAATTTTTAAAATTAACATATAATGTATTATTAGCCCCAGGGGTACAGGTCTGTGAATCGCCAGGTTTACACACTTCACAGCACTCACCATAGCACATACCCTTCCCAATGTCCAACCACCCTCTCCCTACCCCCCTCCCCCTGGCAACCCTCAGTTTGTTTTGTGAAATTAAGAGTCTCTTATGATTTGTCTCCCTCCCAATCCCATCTTTCCTTCCCTACCCCCTAAACCCCTTACTTTTAGGCAACTGAATCTTACAAAAATGAAGATGGAACCTAAAACTTGGATCTATCTGGCAGCAAAATTACACAACCACATTGCCCCTAAATGACAGAGAGCATGAAGCAGCAAGAAGATGACTTTTGAAGACATAAAACAGGCTTCAGCATTGCTGCATTCTGGATGCCTTATACTAAACTGTTACAAAGTCCAACTTTTGTACCTTTATCTTTTTCCTTTGTGTATTGTTTCTTTAAACATCTGTGACCCTCTCAGACTTCCACTCAGCACAGAGGAAAGTGCTGAGTTGAGACTAAAAACAATAGAAACATGTGTTCTAAGTAAATGTTAAAAGGCTAAAGGTCTTGGGAAATTGTATTTGTGATTGTACTGAACTTAAAACATTAGAAATATATAACTTGATACACAGAAATACTTGCCACATTTGAGTTTACAGATATGTAGTTATGCTCACCGAAAGGGCATGAGTTGGCTGAGACATCAGATTGTTGAAAATGTTAAGAGCAAGGTTTTTGACTTATTAAACATTCCAAATGCTTTAGAGAATTTTCAAAAAGGAAGAGTAAGATTTATTAGAGTAAGAAGGGGGAAGGGTGAGCATTTAAAAAAATCTTTTTCACTATAGTGTTATTGTTCATTCTTACAAAAATAAAAATAAAAATAAAACATATGCTCTCTATTCTATTTTTCTTAATTTTCAGTGAATAAAGGCCTCAAACTGAATATACATATAGAAATAAGCATCTTGACAAGAGTTCAGGATTTAGTGCTAGTAAGTGGCTTCAAGACTAGCTAATATTAACAAATGATAATTTTTAAAAAAGTTTGAAATGAACTACTCTTGTGCTCTGCAGCTGGAAGCATTCTGGATCTTAATATACCTGTGTTCCTAGGCTACTGTCAGAGCAAAGATTTAGCAGTATCAACCTGGAAGCACTTTGATAAATTCAGAAGAAAAGACTCTTTTTGGGCACTTGTAGCAAAGTCTTGCTTTTTTCCTGAGATAACTGATTTTCCATTCCTTGCCTATTCTTGAAGAATGATACCATAGGGATCTCTGCACATGAATAATCTTCAGATTAGATTATAAACATCTTAAGCCTTTTTATTCTGTAGTAAGAGTCTTAAACATAGCACATGCCTAGTTGATATTCACATGCATTTATCTACATACATTAAAACAGCTTTCTATTTAAAGAAAGAGGTTTTTTTTTTTTTTTTTAAATCACACCACAATGAGAATGGTAGTTCTTTGAACCTTTCTATTGTGCTAACTTCAGATTTTAATGTATAATTATTTTTTCATTCCACTTGTAACGTCACCAGCATAATATAACTTGCCCTCCAGACCCTTGCCTGTACGTCTTGATTGGCACTTACCAAAGACAGTCCTCGCTGGTACAGACTCTCTGTTGAGCCAGAATGAAACTTGGGATAGAATAACTGTCATTATGCATGGCAGGTACGTTTGAATAACAAAATAGCCAATTTTTCTCTTCAGGTGGAAATGAGTGGTCATAACAACATATTCTCCTAGAGGGTGAAACATACAATAAAGTGAGCAATTTGACCCTGAAAAGAAATTATCTCTGGATTTTTTCCATCAACAGCAAAATCTTAGACTTAAAACATGTCCCATGTGACATCTGGTTCCTGAAGAGAAAATGTTTATCCAGGAAAGAACAGAGACATTATTAAAACACCAAAATGGGGTTGAGGATAAGACTGAGGTGCCAGAGATCTTATGGATACTGCTACACCTTATCCTGGTGTATCAAACATGTAAGAGACATAGAGTATCTATTTACAGAATGGCTCTAATGACCATGAAGGCAAAGTGCAAGATCCTGATGATACACAGTAATGGGTCAGAACAGATCAAATCCCCAGTTTACCACTGTGGAAGACATTCAGGCTGTCTAATGAAGGAGCTTTGGTGTCCAACTTTGGGGGAATTCCTGTTCTAATGCCAGCACTTCCTTTCAGCTGCTCTTTGGCCCTGGGTAACTCATTTAGCCTAGCCTGATCTTTGGAATGAGGAGAGTGGGATATAATCCATGGTTTCTCAAAATTTATTTTGAGGAATACCTCCACCAGAATCACCTGGGAAGGTTTTGAAACATTCAGTTCTTCAGGTCCCACCTAGATACACAAACCATTCTTTAAGGGAGGCCAAAGAAAATCCACTTCAATATAGCTTTTGAACTGCTCCAATTCATAGCCTGGGCTAGGAAACAATGGACTAGCTGGGCACACTTAATGTCTTTGTATATATCAAAGTCTGATTTCATTTAGAAAAGCAGTTTCATTTACCAAAGCGATTGACATGCAGCCCAAATTATAGGAGGGTTTTTTTTTTTTAAACTGATGTTATATTTTTTCAATTACAAATCTTAGAAAATTTTAGCTTTATCCACTCTGAGTATATATTTAGCTGTCTGTGGGGGGTCGGGGGAGGAGAGAAATAGGTATATTCTTACTAAGAAAACATAGCTTTCTTTGGTATTCACATTACTTCACCTTTCTCCTTCCTTTCAACTCCAAATTTTGCCCTATGCAACCTGTGACCATGACCAGCCCATGACCATCTAGCATCAGCCCCTACAATGTGGCTAAAACTGTTCACGACCTATTAATACCCCACTCTTCATCTTTCTGCAAAGTAATCATAGAGGTTCCTGGTGTAGTTCTGCTTTTAGGTTTCTTCCACTTTTTTTTTTTTTTTTTTTTTTGGCTCTAACCAGGAACTTCCCTTCTCCTCCTGTCCCTAGACTCATTTGTATCTGAAGGCCTGCCAAATCCACAGCCCTAAGTGACACTGCTTTCAAAATCAACCTGTATTCCCAATATCTACTGGACATCTCAGAAATACTGATTTTTCATTGACATCACCAACTAAATATGTTCAAAAACTGACATTAGTTAACCTTTCCCATAAAAAAAAAAAATAATGACCAGCATATACCTGTGCTGCTTTCCCATTTAAAGTCTATCTCTAAATTCATGATACTCTCTCATCTGTCTGCTTACTCAGACTAAAATCCTGGGATCAAACCTTGGATGTTAAGTACGGCTTCTGAGAGAGAGAGAGAAAGGAATCAGTTGATCATCACAATTTTAATTTCTCCTGGGCAGTATCTTTCAGCCTATCTCTTATCTCATGGTCACTGCTCTTATCTCTTTTGTAGATCTATTAACTGCCTTGTTTATCTCCAATCACTTCCTCATTCGAGTTTTCCCTAAATTTTGATGTCAGGGTAATCTTTTTAAAGTCTACATAAAATCTTAAAATACCTTAATGGATTCCATTATCTACATTAAGATTTCTCAGCCTCAGCACTATTGACATTTCAGACCAGATAATTGTTTGTTGTGGGGGCTGTCCCATATGTTTTTGGATTAGTTGACCTCTACTCACTAGATGATACTAGCAAATGCCCCGCCCTTCTCCAGTGTGACAATCGACAGTCTCCAGTGTTCCTACTGACAAGCAAACTCTGTTACCTGGATTTAAGACTCTCCATATCATAGCTCTAATAAGCACTTCCGTGCCATGTTTCTTGCCTTACCATGCATTTTCACATCTCAGTATCATGACCAACAAAATCCTCTACTTCACATCTATTATTGCTGAATATTTTGTTCATCTTTGGGTTGGGTTCAGTCCATAGCAGAAGAAGAAGAAATGTGCTGTAAAGGAAAGTTTATCAGCTTTGGAAGCAAATGGATTTGGGTTCAAAACTTAGATACGCTATTTTCTTTCTGGATAGCCATGGGTAACTTGCTTACAGCTCTAATCCTCAATTTCCTAATCTATAAAAAAGTGAGAAGCATGGGCGCCTGGGTGGCTCAGTGGGTTAAGCTTCTGCCTTCTGCTCAGGTCATGATCTCAGGGGCCTGGGATCAAGTCCCGCATCGGGCTCTCTGCTCGGCAGGGAGCCTGCTTCCCTCTCTCTCTACTTGTGATCTCTCTCTGTCAAATAAATAAATAAAATCTTTAAAAAAAAGTGAGAAGTATATTGTGGGGAGGATAAAGAATAAGGGCTCTAATTAAGATAATACCATGTAAAAGTTTTAAAATAAATTTTGGTTCCCTTCTCCATTTTCTTCTCTTTTCCCTCCAATCAGAATTGGTAAAAATATTGGTAAAATAAATGCTTTTATTCTTTATAGGAGAAAATCATTCACACACACAAGTATGCTTTCACTGCTAATTGTTAATAACAATTGCCATTGACTGATCACTAGTAAGTAACTTCAAATTTATTTATAGCTTCTGTTTACATTTATAATAAAATCTCACACTTTTTATTTTAGCTAACTTATATCCTTCTATTCCTCTCATCAAACTGAGAGTTAATTTGGAAGAGGACAGTTCTTTGAATATAGCATGGTTTTACATACTTTACGTATTCAACATCTGTGCATGGTGAAAAGGGATGCATTGAGGTTTAAGGGCACTCACTTAAATTAACATCCATGAGGCTCTCTATTTGGGAGGGCAAATACAATGTTTACTAATTCTTCTTGGTTTCTGTAGATACCCTGGGTGATGACTCCAAGGTCATCTGAAAGAAATGAGTGATTCAAATTTCAGAAAAAAGCAGAAAACCAATTTTTCCAGGACTACTAAAATGTAGTCTTGTGTGGACATGGCCATGTTACATTTCACCCTCTCAGGAGTATGCATTATTATTCCTAACCATTCATTCAACTGTGGTTTACAAAATGTCATCAGCTCAAAGAAAAAATTCCATCTTTCATATAATGTCAGAAAGATGAGTGTCTATACATATTCCATTATCATCTTTTGTTGTTCGCAATGTGACATTTTAGGAAGATTCTGCAGAGAATATTATTTTGGAGGAGCTATTATTCCACATTATGTTTGTTCTATAAACCACTTCCTCACTAACAAGTTAGAGAAAGAATAGAAGGATTTCAAATCTATTGAAATCATTTTCCTAAATTAAAAAATAAATCTAAGAAGTTTTGGCACAGAACATGTAAGTAAGGAGAAAAAAGGCAGCAAAATCAGAATCATGTTGTAATAGTTTAAAAATAAAAGAAGAACACAACAACAAAAAAATCAATCTCCTAAATCGAATTGAAAGAAATCTCTAGACATCAAGTGCTTATACGCTAAGCATGTCAAATTCTTTTCCTCTAATTCAACAGTCTAGAAGAATTGTAATTCAAATATCCTTGCATATCATGTAACCCTCAGGGAAGCTTGTAAATTAGATGTGACAATATTTCTGATACATTACCATACAAAATTAAGGAGAAAGAAAGAAAAGAAGCAGGGATAGAATTCTATAAAGGAGCTTCGAGGGTTTGTTTAGTAAATGGCTTCCATGTACTTGAAGAGTAAATACTTTGCTTAACTTTATTTGACTTCAGTTTCCTAATTTGTTCGATTAAAATAATAGTGCTTTACTTAACTATTTCCTAGGATGTTGGGAGGATACAATGAAATGATAGATATGAAAGTCATTTAAAAAAATTGAGTCATGTGCAAATTGAGAGTGTAAGATAGAAACGACAGAAATATAGTCTCTCCAGCTCTAGAAAGCAACCATTCATGTCAATGAAGTTGTAATGAACATTAGGTCCCTATAAGCCTATAATAGGTCCCTAATAGATCACTTTCCTTCCAAGTATTCTTAACTTTGTGTTTTCTAAGCTATGTATTTCCCAAGTTTTTATGCTGATTTTTTAATAGGAATGAGAAATCAAAGATAACATTGAGGGAGGAACTGGTATTTTAATATCTGTGTCAAAGAGTTCTAGAATAGAAATAAAAAAAAATGGCTAGAGTTCTAGGCCACTGAATCTTTCTAGACCTGTCTCTTCATCTGAAATATGAATTGACCAGGTAACTACTCTACCTCCAATCCCTACTTTTTACATTTTATGGCTACAGTTATTTCTCTGGAGATCATATACTAGGCTTTGTAAATGGGGGCTCTAAGGATCCTTGGATGAATGCTGATCACTCTTATTGGCCCCTGGTCAGGGAAAATGCTTGTTTTCCTCATTCGTTTTGAGCCTGCTTGTCATCCTTAAATCAACTAATCCAGAAAAGACTATCTTTAAGAAAGAGGATCTCATAATTTCTCTTGGTCATTTGTTCTAAGGATAAGACAGCCACTCATAAGGAGAAACATTCTTATTCAGCAAGGCTAACCTAAAATTCCTTTGATCAAATCTCTCTTTGACTTTGGTAAATATGAAGGTTTTACAGGCACCACTATGTATTTTAAAAAGGCATTGTACATTATTATATTCTTATTTTCTGGCCATGATATTATCATTATGCCTGGTCACTAATTTAATTATTATATTTCTCTGTATAAGTCATATTTTCATGCTCTTTAGTCATGGTTATAATTTCTGTACAGGCTCTCCTTAAAAAACTACTTAGGAAACATAATGCAGTATAGTAGAATGAGATAAGGGGCAATGTCTGGGGTCCAGTTCCAAACTGCCTTCTCTGATACTTCAAGCAGAAATGACTTCTTTATGTTATGTCACTTCCTTGCACTAACTCTATCATCATTATTAATAGTAATATATAATATTTATTACATAATTTTTATATGTCAGACACTCTGCTAAGCAGGTTACATGCATTTTTCTTATTTCAATCTCAGAGCAGCTCATGAAGTGGATCCTTTTATCATCTACAAATTTTACAAGAGAAAGATGAACAGAGAAATGTCTTGCCAAAGGTCAGACAGTTAATAAGTAGTATAACCAGCCTTTAAACCTTCACAGTATAATTCCAGAGTCCACACTCTTAAATCCATGCTGTACCACAGCCTTGCTTTTCACACATGTCTATGTTGCCTGTTACTAGTCATGTGGTTGAGCACTCTGCAGCTAGACTACCCCCAGGTTCAAATCTCAGCTCTGCCATTTCCTCACTGTGTGACCTAGGAAAAGCAGTTAAATCTCTCTGGCTTCAATTATGTCCCATCTGCAAAATGGATATAATAAAGTTAATACCTATATCCTGGGATTGTCGTATTAGAACAATGCCATGAGCATGTTAGCTACTTACAGCAATCAATTATGAATTTCTTGAGGGCAGGAATTAAATGTCCTTCATCTATCTTTCCCAGGCCCAATTACAATGTCAAACACAGAAAGTGAATAAATGGTTGAAGGAATTAGTGAATAAATTGTATTGGATAACAAAGAATTGTATTGGATTTGAGAGCTCACTGGACTCATCCTTCCATGTGACTGTAAAGGTTTTTCTCTGCCAGGTGAGTAGGTGTACTTCAAACTAACTCTCCAACTTACTGTCTTCTCCCAAATCTGGTGGCAGACCTCAGGAAAGATATTGGGACTTTAATGGTTTTGTACTGAATTAAAAAATCCAAGCAGTGGATCGAGCATCATATTCCCCCCTCCTATGTCACTGAAGTGATCTAGAGGTATTTGACTTGAAAGAGATTGCTGGTAGTACCTATGAATGTGTGTTCACATGTAAGTTGGCTCAGGCAAGCAGGGAAACCCCTTCTAAAAGGTGATTTGAATTGCTTCTCTCCCCGCAGAGAATTTTAAGGTAGAGGAAGATGGATTTTTACCTAATCATTCTCCATGTGGTGCTCTTTCTTGCTATCATTCCTAGTCTTCTGGCAAAAACAGGGAGGTAAAGTACTCAATGCCATTTATCTTAATATTTTTAGGACTCTGCAAGGATATGTGAAATATGGAATGGAAGACCTTAAAAAGATCTTTGTTTCTTCCCACAGAAAAATATCAGGGTGGATTTTTGATGAGCTAAAGTGGACCCAGAGGAAATGTTTAGTTCAGTGTTTTATTGTGAGGTTGAAAGTGTACACCAAACTGAACCCCTACATCTGAGAATTTGCTCACTATTTTCCTCACCTCCCTTCCCTTCCTCCCCACCAATATCAATTATGGGAATGACAAGGAAGAGTTCTTATTTGTACAGGTAAACTTGCTGATTTAGCACAGATTGAGTACTTTCAAAAGACCCAGAGTATGAGGTACAGCCAGTTTGGTGATGGGGGGTTGGGCCCTGCCTCTCATTTCCTAGCTCCATGTATGCCTGTATATCATTTCTGAATAACTACAGTGTATGTAGCCTAAATCCTGATGAAGGCAGAAACATATCCAAGTTTATCAGAATGAGCCACTCACTTTGCCGACATGGAAATTGGTCCTAAAGAGGGATGAAATGACATGTCAAGGTCACTAGCACTACAACTAGAGTGGAGGCACTCCTTTCTTTGGGTAACCCTCCTGGCTTGTGTCTACTTCTGCTATTGAATGCATGCCACTGGGGTTGAGTTATTGTTGCTTTCATATCCCTCAGCCTTTATTCTAATGATAATGGAGAATTTCTTGAGGGAAAGTTCTATGTTTATTATTTTCAATGTTCTGGGCCTAAAACAGTGATTATTTGGTTTCCAACAAATACAGATTAACAACATAAAAGTCAACCCCTGCAGCAATTCCTCCTTGATTATTCTAGGATGGGTACATTTATTGTTTTATTCATTAGTTCACAATATTTATTTAGTGCCTCTTCTGTTTTAGCTACTATAGTAAATGATAGGGATATAGAAGACAGATATGGTCCCTGCCCTCACAAAAATGTTAATCACAGCATTTACCACCCATTTTGATAATTATAGTTTATGTGTTTGTCTTCCCTTAGACTTTAGATTCCATGGCAGCAAGCTCTCTGCCTTGTCTTTGATTGACTCTCCGGTGTCTACCACAAAATCCAGTTTATAATAGCATTTGATTTTTAAAGGTGAACACTGCTCATTTTAGAATGTTTTCCCATATAACTTAGGAGCGAGAGAAATTTTCAGTATTTTTCCATGTTTTGGGATCTCAGACGACATACCATTTCGAGCACTTACCATATATATGTTCTACTTAGTGTTTTATATCATCTCATCTTTAATGCAAAGGTAAAAAATGCCCACTTTTTAGAGGAGACCAGAGTTTCTAGTTGGATAAATGACTTTGCCAAAGTCACAAGACTTCTATGTGGCAGGACCAGGACTTGAGTGCATCTCTTTCTTACTACAAAGCCTAAAATCTTTCCACTATGCCATATGCATTTTTAACATGGGCAAAACTGAGCAACAATCTTCTCCATTTTTCAAAAGAAGAAACATAAATATTTGGGCTTCCAGAGTAGCCATGGTTGCGGCAAAATAAGCAAAATGCAGATCCCATTAAACAGGGATTTTCCAATAGCCAGAATAAGATATATTGACCTATTACTGGAACTTGTTAGAATTATCAGGCTCCTAATATAAAACCTGAAATCTAAGGAAGAAATTTTTTCTGACAAGAATAGCACATCTGCCCTTATATATTACCAAATTGCATTTTTTAAAAGAAATTACCAAAGTGGATGAACTAATTTAAAATTTTAAAGACAGCTATAAAAACTTCTGGCTCTTGTTAAGCTTTCATTGACTGAACATAATTAAAATTATTGGGATTGAGGGAGGGTTAAAATCCAAATTTTTATAGTTTTCCAGCCCAACGATCACATTACATTTAGTCACAAATGGATATTTGCATAACTAAACTCTTATTTCTTGAAGCAACTTCAAAATTTAAAATTTGGGTCCAGCTGCTTAATAGTATCTGCTCTAGTTCTTATGTATAATGATCACTGCTACAAATTCACCAAGATTCACTGACTCATTATAATAAATCAGGCCTAGATAATATTAATAGCTAACATATTTTGAGAGTTTTTTTTATATGCCAGAAGCTATTAAAGTACTCTTCGTGGATTTAATTTATGCCTTCTAACAACCCTGTGAGGTGACCACAATCAACACACAAAGTGGAAGAGTAAGAATTTAATCCATACATTCTTCCCCTGAGTTCACATTTCTAAATACTCTGCTACCCTGATCACATAGAACTAGCATCTTATTTTGCAAACCAAGAAACAGAGGCCAAAAGACATTAAATGAGGAATACAAGGGCACAAATCTATAGAGTTTACACTAGTTCCTAGCTTAGGTAGTCTCAGGTTAGTGAAATTTTCTCTCTCTCTCTACTTGTGTTATTGAAGAACTTACTGAATTCTCACAGTCTCACAAAAACTGTTTATATTTCTTCTGACATATCTGGAATAATCAACTGGCACTTACCTGTACTAGACTGAACAATTCCTGAGTCTACTGTTTGCCCAAGAAGATCATATTGGTTTAGGCGTGACCCATCTTCTGCTACAACCACCGAGCGTGCTGGCTCTCTGGTCCACTCATAAACAACTTCTGCTCTGGTATAGGCATCTGAAAGGAAAGGAAGGAAAATGTCCGTGTGTCATGTTACTTTGATACTCCTCACTAGCTGGTAAGTGCTACTAGTTTCCTATTTTCAATTGCATGGTTCCAGAGAGCAGGCCAGGAAAAAAAGAGCCCATGTCCTTTGGCTTAGGAAAATTAAAACACGTTTTCCTGATTTGTTCAGTCATCTGTTCACTTTTACAACAAATGGTTATTAAGCATCTACAAAAGATAAAGAGCTTTGCTGAAAAAATCCGTAACAAACAAGTTTTCCTGATGTTGTGGAATATGCACGGCAGTAATGGGGACAAAAACAGACAAGCTAATAAACACATAATTTCAAGTAATGTTAAATGCAATAAAGCCATACACAATAGGCTAAGGGAGTAGAGAATGAAGGATGTGGGTCTATTTTAGATGAAGGACTCGGAGAGGGTCCTTGAGGAAATGACAGTTAAATGCATGACAGAAATGAGAGTAGGGTATGTCTTGGGGAAGAGTTTGTTGGATAGGTGAACAAAGAAGTTTCTTCTTCTGGTCCAGGTAAAAGCTTGATATGTTTGAGGAAAAGCAGGAATACCAATGTGACTAAATCTGTGTACATGAGAGATGAAATACGGTTAGAGGCAGAAGCCTGGGTCTGGATTATGTCAGGCCAAGGGAAGATCATGATAAATATGAAATATAACACCAGAAATTCTACCAAGCACCCATTTTTAAAGGAAGTGTAACTTTACTTCCTTTTAATTAATTCTCCTTTTTATGGATGTTTACTATCACGATGATGATGTTGATGAGTTACACCATTTAGCTCATTGCACTTCTCAATCATTTTCATTCTCCATGTTACTTTTAACCTAGCCATCCTTCTACATGAGAGATGAGATCATAATCCTGATCCGTAGTTCAGGAAGGTTGGGGGAAGAGCTGTATAGAACGAGTGCGAAGGAGAAGAAGGGATTCCATAGCTTTTCTGGTTTCTAGTCACGGAATACCCACTACACATGGGGTGGAATGAGAGTATATGCTGTTAGATGTTTTATATATGTATGTATATATATATATATATATATATATATATATATATATATACACACACACACACACACACGGCTTTATTAAGGTAAAATTGAAAATAAAATTATAAGGTATTTAAAGTATACAACATGAAGATTTGATATACATATACATTGTGAAATAATTCCTACCATTGAGCTAACATGTCTCATTAACTTAAATTTTGAATCATTTCAGCATTGCATTTCTTAAGGAGGAGGACTGCATTTGTTAGCATCTAAAACATGTTTATTTTTAAAAATCCCTCTAAGAAGTGCAGAGCACTAGTTGAGAAGAACCATATTGCTCACAGTTTGTAGGAACTTATATTCAGTAAAATATTTTTCCCATCATGGTAAATTTTTCTTTTTTTAATGGAAAGGTCTAACCTAAGAACACATCTCAAGTTTATGGTAACACAGAATCACTGATTGTTAACATGGAAGGAGGTTATATAGTTTGTCTCATTTTATAGATGATAAACTAAAGCACAGAAACATTGAATGGCTTATTTAAGGGCTTAAATATTTAAATAGCTATTTAGTGAAACAAACAGAGGTAAGAGCATAGAATGACATTCTTTCTACCCTACTGTTATTAATAAGGATTTCCTAGGCAAAAACTGTATATTATATGCTCAAAATCCAAGCAAGGGGATACTTAGTGGTCAAGTAATTTGGGATGAAACCAATTCTAATCCTCGTGCCATTTTTGTAACAAATGAAAAAACTCTTGCTACCGTTTTGCACTATCATTAGCAGTAGTGCCTGGACTCTACTTTTTTGAACTTCATCATGTGTTGCTGATAGGCTGCTAATATAGTTTTAGATGAAAAAATCTGTTACCATCCCCTTTAAACATCATATAATTCAATGTCTCACACTTGCAATCTCTTAGAAACTCCACTGTGTATGAAACCTACAATAAACTCAGCGTTGCTGTGAAAGGGGAGATGATATATTGTCCACGTCTCTCAATGGAAATCTCCCAAAATGCAGAGTGGACCCACAAGGTTAAACAGGGGATGGGGATGAAGGAGAGCACTTGTCGTGAGGAGTACCAGGTGTTTTATGGAAGAGTGGATTGACTACATTGTATACCTGAAAATAATATTACACTGTATGCTAACTAACTGGAATTTGTTTTTTTAAAGATTAAAAAATTATTTAGTGGGAGAGAGAGAGGGAAAGAGCCTGAGAGAGCATAAGCAGAGGGAGGGGCAGAGGGAGAAGCAGACTTCCCACTGAGCAGGGAACCCAATGTGAGGATTGATCCCAAGACCCCGGGATCATGACTTGAGCTGAAGGCAGACACTCAACAGACTGAGCCACCCACGTGCCCCAACAAACTAAATGGAATTTAAATAAAAACTAAAAAAAAAAAGAAAGTTGGGGTTTCATGATATAAGGCATCACAATAGGTGATATACCTTATTTCTTCATTTTAGTACTTAGAAAGGAGGTCCTATGACTGCTTCCTTCATTTGAGACTAATCAGCATAAAGAAGATAAGGTTAAAAAGAGTCTTCAGCTACTTAGTCAAAATGTTGAGCTCAGATTTAAAATAAATTAGCAGATTACCTCAGAAAAAATTTAAAAAGAAGACAAAAAATTTTGGTTGGGCTTATGAAAGAACTCTGTGGTGCTACAACATTGGGAGCATAGACTTGGTATCAGAAGAGCATCTGCTAATAAGACACTATCTCTTCACTTTTACGGGCCTTTGTCTTTTCATTTGTATGAAGCAGGTGCACTAAATAATTTCCAAAGTTATTTATTATTCAGAATTTGTTTAAATTTCTACTTATCCCTCTCTCCTTATTTACAAGGCACTATGCTTGATAATCAGCCAGGAAACCATCATTTATCGAGTCCATAACTAGATCTAGCACTTGCCTACATCTTATTGTCAGAACATCATCTGAATCTCTTCATTTAGAATCAAAGCCTTCTTTGTATTTTCCTCAAAAGCAGTTAAAAGATGTCAACTAAATCATGCACACTGTCTTCTAGTTATATGGCCTTATGAAGATGGCTTTATCCCCAATAAGCAAAAAGAGTGCTATAACACTGACAATCAGGGTCGAATGGAAAATGGCAATGGAAAGTGGAAAATATCTGCTTTTCTGAGGTTAGTTCCTATCAACATATGGACGATTTTGCTTCATTAACATTTATTACATAGTATTCTACTAAATTATTACACAATCTTCTAGCTTATCTCTTGATTATTTTCTTCTGTGTGATTCTGGCAAGATGTTTGCTTCAAAAACTGGGTCAATGCATTTTTAGCCCACTTTTGCCTCAGTTTCTTCATTTCAGAAGTATGCTAATTAGGCCAGGACAGAGAACTAACTATACAATAAATCAACCACCACTCCTTCTTCTCAAGCCAATGGCAGGTGATGGTGATTAGTCATGGCACTCTCTCACTGAGCTCAGATGCTTATTTTTCAATTTCAAATCTTCTCTGTTTAATTACCCACAGGTCTTAAACCCTTTTCTGAAGCAATCTTCTCTGAGACTTAAACATTAAAGGGGCATTTAAAACCCAATTACTATAATTTTTATCTATTCAATAAATATTTATTGAGTGTCTACATCATATTAGGCTCTGTACTAGGAAATGCTGAACAAAATAGGTTGTGCTTTCATGGGAGTTTTACAGTCTCCAGACAATAAAAATGTCAACCAATAAATAAAACTAATAATTATTGCTATAATACATCTAAATTAAACATGTATTATAATCAAGAAGATGGGTGGGACTGTATGTAAATTTAGATAAGGTCATCAGGGAAGCCCCAGAAGATGATATTTATGCTGAGAAGTGAAAAATAGAAGAAGCCACTTACATGAAGAACCAAGGGAAGAGTAACCCAAGTAGAGAAAAGAGCATGTATAAAGGCTCTGAGGTAGAAAGCGGATTTTTATTTAACTTCAGTTTTCTTACATGAGACATTATGTGTTTTCTACTTGCTATCCATTTCCTCCTTCCTAAAATACCTCCTATTTTCTTCAGGCTAACAATGTGCTTAGTTAAGAATATTTCTTCCCAGCCTCATTTGTAGTCAGCATTAGCAATGAGACACATCTTTGATTAATGAGATACACGTAAATGTCTGCTAGGATTTTAGGGAAAGCTTTTATCTCTTTAATACAGGTGCTCGTTCTTTCTTCTTTGTCCACTATTCTTTATTTTGAAAGCAGATGCAATGGCTGGAGTTGCAGCAACCATCTTGTGTTCAGGAAGAACATCTAAGGGCATCTTAAACATCATCGTTGTTAAGATGCTGACAAAACAACAATCAACCAACAATCACTTACCATCATCCATCTTGTATAAAAATATAAACCCCTCTTCTTTTTCAGCTAGCTATACTCACGGCTTGAGAGCATTCCTGACTAGTACACTAAACAAGTAATTTATGGTTCAAAATAAGGTATTTCTGAAGGTAAAAGAGGGCACTATTAGTAGTTATATCAGGATATAAGGCAAAAGTAAGTACTGCCCCAGGCAACCTATAATGCATGATCTTTCTAAGTATAAGATTTTGTGGATTAGATGAGCCGATACATATACAAATGTTTAAAATACTGCCTGGCATACCAGTAACACATAATACATAATATTGTTAAAAATGGAGGTGGTAATCAGGAGAAAATATAGTAGTCTGTAACATAGAATATACATTAAATTGGGAAAAGAGTGAGGAGGAGGGAGTTATCACCAAAGGCCTGTTTGGCTGACAATTTTTGAAGTAGTTTGTCCTTGGGTTTCAGTATAGAATTCGATTTATAAATAAACTTGTCTTTCCATGACTAGAGCTGCTAGGAGCCTGAAGGCCCTTTGCTATTTTCTTTGCTTGCTGTCTTCCTACACCACCACTATTTTTTTTTTCTATGAATCATATCTTCACCAAAATAGTTGCTTAGACTGTCTGTCTAGTGGGAGCAGAAAGATGGTTAGGTAGTCCAGGAGCTGACTCAGTCCAAAAGTAACTCTCCTGCAGGAAACCAGGAATACATTGTTCTTACTTCTTACTCCCTTTATATATGCATACTAGTCAAAAGCAGAAGGCTAGAGGAAGACAAGAGAACCTGACTCTGCTGGGCACAGTTCTGTTCTCTTGGCTCCTCTAATGTGTGCCTGCATAGTTTCAAATAGCAGAAACCTCAACAGTTATCATAAAGGTATCTAGGATACCTTCAAAAGCACTAATATACACATATATTTCAAGGGATATCCAACCAGATCTAGAACTTTTCAAAAGGTTATGATTAGGGTAAATTCTCATCAGACAATATTTGTTAGGTGTAGGCTTCATTATGAAGAAACGATTATCATCCACTGCTGCGACCTACCAATATTTTCATCTGATAGACAACTTGCAATAATCTTAAAGTCAAACAAATGTCAGCAATGACACAAAATAAGCACAGTGATCTCCATCTATTGGCAGGGAGTTATTATCTATGTGGTAAAAGCATCCATACTCCACTTGTTTTTCCATGAATACAGCTTTAACAAAAGTAGCATTTTTCCACTAATTAATTAAATCCACTCTTTCTTATAATAATCTCTTCCTGAAAAACATTAAAAATGAAATTAAAGATTATTACTTATAGAAAGTATTTTTTTAAAGTTTTTATGTATTTATTTGAGAAAGAGAAGGAGAGAGAGAGAACGAGGAGGGGGGTGTGGGGGTGGGGACGGGGAGAAAGAGACTGAGCAGGAATCCTGATTAAGGCTTGATCCTAGGACTCGGAGGTCATGACCTGAGCTGAGGGCAGACAATCTTAATGTACCAAGTCATCCAGGCACCCCTAGAAAGTATTTGCAGCAAATCACTGAACTTTCTTCATTTTTATCTTTTTTTATCTGTCTTCTAACAGGTTTTACTAATTGGAGGTTTCTTGCTTAAAGACTTAGGTTTCTCAGGGGTGCCTAGGTGGCTCAGTCAGTTAAGCATCCTACTCTTGATTTTGGCTCAGGTCATGATCTCAGAGTTGTGAGATCGAGCCCCGCATCAGGCTCTGCACTTAGTATGGATTCTGTTTGTCCCTCTCCCTCTATTCCTCCCCCTGCTCTCTGTCTCAGATAAGTAAATGAATAAATAAAATCTTTAAAAAAAATAAAGACTTAGGTATCTCATAAGAATAAAGGAAAATTAAAATTAAAAATTTACTCACAGCTTCCAAATTTTAGTGGGCAGGCATGTGCATCCATAGGGAAGTCCTCCAAATGCATTGGACACTCAGCTCTCACCGTCAGCCTTATCAGTTGAGGAAAACAGAGGATATATAAAAGAGCCCTATAGATTGGGCACTTACTGATTAATACGACTCGATGTTATTAACTATAGCAAATATATTAAGAAAAGCAAGAGAGGCAGGCACAAACAGCAGCATGATACTGAGCTCTTAACCAAAGTATCTAAAAGGAATTATTTACAATGACGATTGGATTTTGTTTTTGTTTTGAGAAAAACATTGACATCAGATTTTGTATGATGGGCAAGCATTTGTTACGTTTCCAAGGACAAGCATTATTACTTAATCCACCTAGACCCAGAAAATCTCTCAGGACTAAAGCTAGATGTAAGCAAATAAATACTTGGATAAAGACTTGGTGGAGAAGAAGACATGAATAGCTAGGAAGAGAAGAGGATGTCTCCTCTGCTCAGGGCAGCTCTCCCTATCTCCTTCTTTAAAACAGCACCAAATGGGATAAACCTACAAAGGAAATAGGCATAGGAGAGTTTGTGGGTGATCTCACTATATTCCCACCATTTCGTTTTATACAAATTTACTGTCTAATGGAAGCCAGGACTCTGCTTGGCTTCTCTTTAGTCCCTATCTTCAGTTCTATTTACATTTGAAAAATATATTTCACTGAAATATATTTGATTTTGTTTGGTGGAATTATGAGGGAATTTATGTCAAATTCCTCACATGGTTCTTATAAAATATATTCACTCATATTAATAAGTAGCTCAAGAAATGTGGTAGGGATGGCTTTATAGTCAGTAAACTCATTAAGTTGCAATGTTGATTAAAGCAAATATGAAATGTATAAATTAATGATCAAACTTGCATCTTAAAATCAAAATATTAAGGAAAGTGATGACATATTAGCAAAGGTGGTTTAGGAGTTTAGGAGTTTAGGAGATGGGCAGTAACAGGCTAGTTATTGACGAAGAACACAGCACACACCAGGTAGTATGACTTGGGCAACTTTTCAGTAGGTACAAATCTTGCCCCAGAAAATTGTCAGCTGCGAGGAATAAATATGGAACTTAGGCTCAAAAACAAGTGCAGGGTGTTTTGTAAGAGGAGAATATTTCAAGTCTCAATTATAAATAGAGCCTACTTGGATGATCTGGAAAGGTCTCAGCACGTCTGTCCACTGATCCTCCATTTTTTCTCTCTCTCTTTTTTTTTTAGAAATTTGTCATTCTTTAATTCTATTACATGTTTACTAGTTGAGTCTAACATCTAAAGCGTCTCTTGAAGCATTTTTTCCCTTTCTTTTTCATTTGGATATTTTGTATAAAAAGGTAGAAATTCTGGCAGCTTTCTTCAAAAGCAAGAATCACTTTATTCCCACATTAAACAAAATCCACCAAGTCTAGGATTTTGCCTCCATTACCTTTTTTGTGCCAGAGGAATACTTGGGATGGTCTGAATTACCAAGTACTGTCCAGGTCTACAAAAATAACACTCTAACAAGTCACTTGGGTATGAAATAACTGCTTCCCTTAAGAATGAGTTCTGGACAGTTTTTATTTGCTTACAAATTAGGAATATTTTAAACATTTTTTTTTCTTTAAAAGTATTCACAATGTTTTTTGTTTCATATTTTCTTCATTGAACCATAAATGAATGAAGATATCTAGCTGCTACGTTTTCCAATAATCTCAAAATGGAGGAATGTTTATTAAGCAGGAATTTTATATAGATATATACACACACACACATACATACATACATACACATACACATGTATGTTCTTCATATATGTAAATATTCTTCAATGTAAGCAAAATTAAGAATATTTACATTCTCAGTCTAATAATACTATAAATTCAGATACTTCTTCTAAGTGCATACTTCCACATGAATCTATAGTTTTTAAGATACTTGAACTGTTCTTTTTTTTTTCTCCTTTTTTAAGTAGAAACATTTTCGGATCCATACCTTGAGATTGCTTCTAGAAATCTGATCTAGAACTTATTGGGATGCAGCAATATATGAGGTTAGTAGTAGAAGTAGAAGTTCCTCATATTGAATTAGAGCAAGTTGGAGAGATACTTGCAACATATTACTTAATATACATTATAAGCCTCCTCCACTTTACCTAATCATTTTACTTAATGCTTTAATGCTTGCATTAAACAGTCTGTTTATTTTTTACAGCGGAGTAATTATTAAGGTTGAAAAAAGAGGGCAAAGAGGAAACTAGATGCTCCGCCATGGCCTATCAGCTTCATGATCACATATATATGGAAGAGAAGTAAAGAAAGAATCACAGAGAGAAAAGAGAAACACAGTCATCCTTACCTCATGGTGTATAACAAGGTGCCATCCTCTGTGATCCTCAGGAGTTTGTTGGGCATGGTCATGTTGTGTGCCACTGACTTCTTTCCATTGTGAAAAAAGGTATCCGGAGTCCAAATCTTACTTGCCATTAGGTTATTTAACCGGAGAACTGTCATGGGTCCTTTAAATTTTAATCTTTCATCCTTCCAGCTTTGACGGAAAAATACATCTATTGTATATTCCTAGATAATTTTGGAAAATGGCAAAGAGTTCACGGAGCTGTATTTTGCAATGCAAATACTCAGGCAATGCATAATTTTTACAACTTTAAAAGCAAAATATGAGCTAGGTGATGTTTTCAAAAATAAACTTGTGGTGGTCTGTACATAGTGGTTTCCGGTGAATCATTTTTTTTAAATATCTAAAATGCCAGAAATATTGCTTGGTCAGAAAAAATCCACAATTATCTCCTCAATTATGTGAAAAGAAAATCAGCCCTTCTCCCTATGCCTCTACCACACCAGCACTCAAAAAAATAGAATACAGTACACATAAAAACAAAACTCATGCTGGAGTTTACTGTTTAAATTAGATAATGATAGCTACTTAGATATAGTATTTTGGGGGGTCCTTCCATAGTCTGAAAACCTTACAGTCAATTTCAAATCATCTGTGGTTCTAATACTAGCCTGGTAATCCCATCTCTTTTACGGGTAAGCAAAAAAGAAATTTTTTTACAGATAATGTTTATAGTCCTTCAATTTTCCACAACAAAGAAGATTATGAAAATAATCTGTTTCACTGTTAATTGGGATCTTCACCAAAAAAAAAAAAAAATGCAGAATATGAGGGTGTGTGTGAGTGTGTATCTGAGTATATGTGTGTAGAAGACACATGAGAAATGTGTGAAGCTCATCATCATTCACAGCCAGGGAATCTATTTATTTGAATAAACACAGCATTCCTTATGGCAATACCCAGAGACAAACATCTGCTAATCTGAAAACAAGCAATGTGACTTACCAGCTCCTAAAACTGAAAAGGGTAATATCCATCTTCCTTGCAGCACTTGCTACACTGACACTAAATTTGGAACTTAATGGTTTGAAATAAAGATTACCACATTCTCCATTAATCTTAGCATGCTCCAAACTGGAAGGAAGACTAACTTGAAAACATCATGCTACATTTTCTTAATCCCCTAAACTCTAATGCATTAGAAAGCTGTTTTTTTTTTTTTTTAATCTTATACATATCATCTTTAGAACATGCAGAAAAAATAATGTCTGTGTCTAGGCATATTTTGCATGAATTTAACTATCTGCTTTTTTCTCAAGCTTTAAGTAAGATTGGGTAAAGACTGAAGAAAGGTTTATCCTTCTGCCACACGTTTGGTATAGCTGAGACCTTCTGATCAAGTAATTATTATTATATATAATTATTATTATTATAATCAAGTAATAATTATTGGACAGTTTACAGAGGACTGGGCATAGCGCTATATCTTGACTGAAACAGCAACAAGGAAGTGTAACATGATGCCAGTTTATGTTTGTGGGCAAGACAAACTACCTTGTTTGTTGCTTAGGCTTTTCTGTGTCTGGAAGTGTGATGTGAAAAGGCACTGAGATACATGACATAGCAATTTACTCACCAGGAAACATTTGTTAAGCATCTTTAAATTTAGCAGAGGGAGAAATTGCTTAAACTTGGATGCTGTAAAGAAAACTCATGGAGTAGGATGGGCATCCAATGGTATTTTCCATGAGGAGAGAGATAGGGTGGGAACCTATGGACTACACTGGGAAATGATACACAGGAGCAGTGCTTGCCAGGAAGCAAAGGGATGGATTTACCCTGAGCTCTGTATGTTCTCTTCTCTGGACAATAGGCTTATGAGATATGGGTCTGATAGTCAGGACATTTCTATTACTCAGGAATCAGCCACGTAAGCTCTATTTTCTATCCAACTGAACTACTTTAGCCTGTCAAATAGTAGAAGAACAGTCACTTGTTAAATCAAGATGCCCAACTGACCATATTCCTATGAATCCAAAAATTTTATTTAGTTGATTTGTTCATTTGCTCCAAGGAGATTTTTGAAAATGAAATAAATGTTAAATATCTTAAAAACCTTAAAATAGATTTATTATCAAATCTTTGATAAGATACATCCCAAAGTCAGTGATTCCAAAAATTATGTCGAAACTTGCCAAATTCCTCATGTTTACATATTTGTCATGTTTACAATCAGCTTTACTTACCTGCGCTAATGGCAGACACTGAAATTCCCAAATTCATATGATATTCTCCCTCCAAATACTATACTGGCCACACAAGCATGCACACACACACTGCAAAACTAACTGGTTAAGCTTTCATTTAATTGTTCCCTTCAGGGGCGCCTGGGTGGCTCAGTGGGTTGGGGCCTCTGCCTTCAGCTCAGGTCATGATCTCAGGGTCCTGGGATTGAGCCCCGCATCCGGCTCTGTGCTCAGCAGGGAGCCTGCTTCCTCCTCTCTCTCTCTCTCTCTGTCTGCCTCTCTGACTACTTGTGATCTTTCTCTGTCAAATAAATAAATAAAATCTTTAAAAAAAAAATTAAATAAATAAATAAATAAATAAATAAATAAATAAATGTTCCCTTCAGCTGGAAGCGGAAATGAAAAGTGAAATAAAAACACTTGATAACAATCAGATCCTATCTAAGCAAGAGTGTAAATATTTGGTGTCCCATTTTCTAAGAACTGCCCTTGCAACACTGCCATGGTAGCAGCAGGAGGTTCTCATCATGACCTCACCCTTGGGGTCATAGTGCACTAGACCAGGATGGGCCAGAGCTCCTTCTTTAGGAAGCTGGAATATGAGGGAGGAGAGCAGAAGCCACAGCATAATGGTTATGGATGTAAGTTCTAAACCTGCTAACTAGAACTAAATTGTCTGTCTGCCACATGTGTGACTTTAGGTCATTCTCTATACTCCAGTTTCCACTCTATAAAGTGGGGATCATACAGTAGCGATTTCACTTGCCTATTGTAAGAAGTGAGTTAATGATGCAAGTGAACAGTTTACAAGAATGTCTGAAACATAGGAAGTTCTCAGTAAACATTAGAAGTTATTTGTCTCCCCATTTCTTTGCTTATCAACAAATTTATATTAGATTTCAATGTAGCTGAGAATGAAAAAAAGTGCTCTTTGTTTGGACTGGTAGCAGGATAGGAAACCTCAGGAAAGTGAGGTGGTCATAACCAAGTAAAGTAAAATCTGAAGGCAAAGGAAAAGACTCTACAGAAGACTGAACAAGTAGGAAGCTCTGACAAAGATGCTGTTCAACGTTCAGTGTTCTAGCTGCCACCATTCAAGTGACAAGTCTCTCCACGTTACCCTGGTCAATAGAGTAGGTCGCTGGAGAATGTGAGTCTTACTCTGAAGACTGGACAGGACATCCGTTATGTTCCTAAATAAATATTGTTTTGAAGTGTTCCCACTTGCATCATCTACTACCATCTGTGTGTGCTTTGACTTCATACGTTTTCATCACCATGGAAAACAGGGCTCTGCAACTGTGCTGCCTGGATATTTCTGTCAGAACCTAGTGCCCTGGGATCGTGCTGTTTGATTGCCAATTAATGGTTTTTAAAATAAAGTTAAGGAGTTGCCCTAATTTTGTTTTCTATTCCAGATGAAGTCAGATGCCTTGGGAGCTGTGGGTCCTCTAGGGGCACACAGCCTGAGTTCAAGTTGCTACTTAGCTAGGTCACTTTCCTCTTCTGGAAACTGCGGATAATAACAATGCCTAGGTAAAATCATGAGTACTAGGTGAAATATGATCTATAAACCTATTAGCATGGTGCTTGGCATATTATAAGCATTCAATACTGTTGAATTCTGTTATTACAGTTATCCTTATTAGATATTTTATTAGTTATCACTTTAAAAACTACAAAGCTTTTCTTGTCTTGAAAAATAGCTTTGTCATTGGCCTTCTAATTTTGATAGACTCTAAATCATACTGCTCTTTATTTGTAATTCACCTATAATGTGGTTTAAATGAGTAATCTCCAATGAATTGGCCAGGTAGCCACTTAGCATATCAATTGTAGACCTGGGTAATTTGGTCCTCTGACAGAACAATTCAAACATTATCCTGTTCAGAAATTTTAGGCAACAGGAAGTATAACCGGCTTAGACACTCTGTTCCTTCTTCCTATCTGATTTTTGACCAAAGGCCATTTATGAAAAGTAATGCACAAGTCATAGACTTAATGGTGTATCGAAAACCCCAACATACATCTTTAGTCCAAGACAAAAAAAAACAAAATCAGTGTTTCCTTAAATGACAATCTAAGCAAATAACTCAAAGGTATGCCAAATATTTTCAAGAGAAAATATGCCTTTATTTGAGCACCGTCCTGTAACAACTCGTATTGAGCATCTAATCTTTGTGAGGCATTATGAAAGATGCCAGCGATAGAGAATATTCATTTTTAAATATGATGATGGTAATGATAATAATGATAATGAGGAGGAGGAATAATATCAGTATCAGTGTGTGATGTTTGTAATGCTTCATCCCCTCTTGATGTTTCCATTTATGAGAAGAGAGCTTCACCGGTGCAAAACTTCTGAATGCTCTCCAATCCCTCATTTAGGGAGGGGAAGAGGGAAGAATAATTTCATTTGATGGGTAAATCTGGATGGAAAAATCAATCTTGCCTATCTCAGCCTCTTCTTGCTGCTCTGTCCATAAGACTCACAAATTCTGATGTTTCTACATGCTAGAAGTTTTATATGGACAGTCTCTGCCCTAACAAATGGAGGCCAAAGTCTTACCAGGTGACTGGGTGGGTTAATCAGATCGATTCTGATGTTTACTCTCTGGAAACTCACTTGTCTACAGATATAAAGCACCTTCCACAGGACCTTTATAATTAGTAATGAAGATGATTATTCTCAATTTCCAAATCCCTTATTTTATTATCTTATTTCTCAAAAGGTTCAGAACTCAGGAAACAGGGTATTATTTGCTGAGTCTCACAAGACTTTGTTGTAAAGACAATAGAGACAACTAAACCCGTCATTAAATAAGTAGGAATTCAACACTTACTATGAGGCAACCATGCACTGATACTCTGAGGCATGTGGGGCAAATGTATCTTTACATTTTTCGGCATTACTTTAGGAAAATAAGACATTTATATAAGAGAAATAACTTTACAAAGCGGTGTTATAAATGACACCAAAAGCTAAGCTATTATTTTATAGTCAATAAATGTGACTAGAAAACAGAAAGGTAAACCTCATCCACTATCGGATTAATAAAAAAAAAAAAAAAAGTTTTCACTAAGCTTTTGGGTCTTGATTTGGGCCTTTGTGGAAATGTAGAATTTAGATGGGTGGGAAACAGAGGGAATTTTCCATGAAGGATACACAGCATGATAAGGAGTTCAGAGGCAAAAGTAATAACTATTGAGTTTACTGAGAGTTTATTGAGTTTATTGAGCACTATCTATAAACACTTTATTTACATTGCTCATTTAAAATTCCTAACTATCTTACAAGGAGAGGCTATTGCAATAATACACCCATTGTAGAGACTTTGAGGCTTACGCACTTTAGCGATTTGCCCAAGGTCATGCTATTGGCAGTGGTGAGATGTAAATTCAGCCATCCTGGATCCAAGACAAGTTCAGCTCACCCCCAAGTGCTATGGCCTCACAGAAAGTAGTATTTAAGCAAATGACTAAAGTAAATTGTCAATATTAGGAACAAGAGGGGATGGGTGGTAACATCATCTGTGAACTGTATGGAATACAGGCAGAGGAGTTTAAATTTGACCTTAAACCTGACTGGGATCTATTAAATGTTCTTAATTAGAAAAGCAGCACAAGAGAATAGTGCTTTAAGACAGAATTCCAACATGGGAGAATCACAAGAGGTCCTCGGGGTGAATAGTTCAGCAAAAAATAGTGTATAACAATATTTCAAGAAAGTGGTCTACAGATCAACCACTATAATAAGAAATAAATACACACTTGTGGCTAATTATTATATTTCTATTTCTCGCATAGAAATAATGGCTGACATTCATTGAGTGCTTCCTATATGCTAAGAACTTTTAAATGCTTTTCATGTATGAATTCATTTAATATTTATGATAACCCCATGAGGTATTATCATCACTCCCATGTTACACATGAAGAAACTGAGGCAAAGAGATGTTAAGGAACTTAACACACACTTATAAGCACAGAAGTTGGGAATATAAACCCAGACAGCATTCTGGTTCAGAAATCTATATTCTTACCTAACACTCTCTTATGCTTGGTGACTCTGATTTGCATAGTTGGTACATTTCATAACCTGTGTTAAGATCTAACCTATCTAATTATCCTGAGCCAGCATTTCCCAGTGTTTGGCTCACAGAGTATTAGCTCTACAGAATGTCAACAAGTACCATATTAAAGGTTTAGACAAATATGACTGGAAAACACTAGTTTATATGTAGTTAAACAGCTTTCCTTACTTCAGGACTTGTCAGAGCTGCCAAAGTGGGTACACTTGTGAATCTCCACACTTTGAAAAATGCTGGTTTTAACTGATATTTTTTGTAACTTTTATTCTCAATCACTTGAACTATTATGAAATCAGAGAACTTTTATGTAAAGATGGTGTCAACAGAAAGGCATTTCAAAAATAATATTCAATAAATATATCTTTGAAATATTTCATAACAGTGTGTCTTCATGGGCTCTTTATGTTTTTTTTTATTACATAGGAGCGTGGCTATTATGAGTATGCAAATATTACATCAGAGTTCTACTCTTGTACCAATTCCCATCAGATAGAAGAGAAATTCATGTTAACTTATTGGGTTAGGAAAAGAAAGAACAGGTATGCATTAATTTTATTTTCATTCTTGGTAATAATTAATGAATTTCTTTTGTAGTGAAGCTGAACATTTCCCACCAATGTGTTTTATTTGAACTATTTCTCTGTCTAATTCTGGTCAACTATTCACTCAGCTTTTATACTCACATCCCCTTTCTAGCCAAGAATAATTCAGAAATCATGATGTTCATGGCTATTGTATAAGAATGCTGGCTATCTAGAGACAGAGCATCTTTCAATCAACATGCCCTCCTAAATAAAATGTAAGGCAGATTACACTATTTGGCTTACAGGACATAACCCAAGTCAAAGCAATCATTTCAGGGATGGTAAAAAAGAAGACTGCAGTGGTTGATATCATAAATGGGCTTGGCCTAGAAAGTAAGTGGGTATTTTCTATGATATAAATATTATATATTAGTATATGTTACATATTATGCATACAGAAAAACACAAAGATAGAGCTAAGCTATTTCAAGTTGTCCTCTAAGTACTTGGTTTATATTTTCCTTTCAAAAGTTAAACTTAGGAAATACACCAAGAAAACCAAAAATGCAGTGTCACTTACCATATCATGGTCTGAAACAGGTCCGAAACTGGTGACGAAGATGTCAGTCTTCACTTCAGTTACACGCTCTGATGAAGCAGGAAATTGGGACAGTGAATGTCTATCAACAGTCCTTATTAGATCTCACTACCACATACTCATACCCAAATGGGAAATTTATTGGCTTTGATTAGCTATTTCTAAAATTGGTCCACTGTGTAGTCCTGATAATTTACTGCTTACACATGAAATTTCACAGTTAATAGTTTTCAATAGAGAATGGAGCCTAAATATGCCACTTTGGGAGGCAGACTTTATGGAGAAGTCAGCTGCTGCTTAACAAATTCCTCAAGAATGGGCACACTTTCCTAATGACACCAAGGCATCTCACACTGTAATAAAAAACATGTTGGCATATGGGTGTCATTTAAGCTTAAATACTCTCCTCTTACTCTTACAGATCCTCTAGCTATTTCAGATACTTCTGGGAAGTATACGGTATACTGTAGCAAGCTTTATTAACTCCTTAAGGGCTCAGGGGCATGTTTTGTAAATGATGCTTTCTAGCATTAAATCATAACTGAATCATCCAAATTACTCCCCAGGAAAAACTGACAACCTATATCAATACTTGCAATTCTGAGGACAAGAAGAATATATTATGGCACAGAAAAAGTTTGTTTAGTAGATTCCATTTCAAGTTCAATGCGATTTTATTTTATTAGTCTCTGAGGCATATATATCAACCAATAAAACATATTCATTATAGTCTGGTGACAACTCAACACAGGCATTTTCAAGGAAATTCAGCCAACCCCCCCCCCAAAAAATGATAGAAAAATGCTGCTTTCATAAAAGGACACAATTTGTTTACAGGTGAGAGTGAAAAAGATGGCTTTGTAATTTTAAACTGTAGCTCTGAGAAATAATGGTCTAGTATCTTAAGCAATTCATTTTATTTATCAGGACATTTATATCTCTGAAGTAGGACATTAAAAAGGTGATCCAATATATGCGGTAATGAATTCTTCTGAAAATCAAGAATTTTATCTCTCAGCAATTCTCTTGTAAACAGTTAATACTTTCAGTATAAATTTCTCTCAAGAAGGTCATGTTGAATACTGTACATAATGTGTACCACAAATGAGAATATAACTTGGGAGGTAGAGATAATCCCTCCAATAACCAATATAATATTTTTTGGCTCATTTCCCTTTCCCCCTTTCTTTCTTTTCTTCCTTTTTTCTCCCTAACAATTTCATTGGCTCCAAAATGTTTAAATGAGCCCCTTGATGTAAGAATTATCTGAGATTTACTCTTTAAAAAACTTGAAAATGGAGGACATAGTTTGAGACAAAGAAAATAGAGCTGTGTTTTTAGAACTCACTTCCTAGAGCACCTGGGTGGCTCAGTGGCTTAAGCCTCTGCCTTCCCTCAGGTCATGATCTCAGGGTTCTGGGATCTAGCCCCACATGGGGCTCTCTGCTCAGCAGGGAGCCTGCTTTCCCCTCTCTCTCTGTCTGCCTCTCTGCCTATTTATGATCTCTGTCAAATAAAGAAAATTAAAAAAAAAATTGTAGAACTCACTTCCTTCCAAAGTCAGTGTTAACCTTCTACAGCTACTAAAGAGCTTGAAAGGAACAGCCATCAGCAATGTCTTAGCTGGAGTAACCACTGGCCTGTTCGGGCTGTTTCCATCCTCTTTCTGTCTGCATTTGCCCAGTGCTTACATCTCTTTTTCTCCCCTGCACCCTCTTTCTATATGTATTCTTTACTCAATTAACTCTTTTTCTTAGTTTAAAGATCTGTTATTTCTTAAGACTCCATCTAGAGTTCACACTTTATTAGAATACCAGGACTGACTTTCAATTAAAACAATAATAAAAAGAAAATGCATGTTATTTATTCCCAAAAGCTGGAATTTATTTTATTAATTGAGCTCATTTTTGTCCTTTCTTTTTCAGCATTTTCCTTTCTAGTTTAAGCAAAGGAGCCTTTGATATGAAAAAAAAAATGTACTTATTGCCATGAAAATAGTACAAAAAGAAAGATATCAGGTAATAGAGAATTGGGCACATTTTCATCCTAATTACTAGTATCCCAGGTATGCTCCTTATTGGTAATAATTTTATTTCTTGTTACTTATGTAGATTAATTTCTTTCTTTTAAAAGTACCCTATATTATGTGATCAAGGAGAATTAACATTTATGTTTTCTTTCTACAAAAATCTTCAAATAGTTGGATCCTCTTGTTATTTACTTTTCTGAGTGGTTGATTCAACCTAATTTTGTTTCTAAGGCTGAGTTTTGATTCTCTGTAGATTATAAACTGTAAGACTTATGGTGAATATCTTACAGATCTGGGTAACATCTACAGAATTAAAATTATGTCCATTCTTTCATTTTTATTTTTGTGGTAGGGATCTACTATTAAATGCATGTTCATTTGGGAAATATGTATGAATCCCTGTCTGCATACTTGCAAGTGCTTTGCAGTTTGGGACAGCTTTCCTGAACTCCTTTATCACCATTATTTATTTCCTGAGTGTAGGGAGGGCATAATTTTTACACTTCAAGGTAACTCTCCAAGGTACCTAGCTTTACAAAAATTGGCTTAGCAGATGTTTTAGGAGCAACCAATCTGTTTTATCTAGCATGATAAAGCGCTCTAAAGAAGTGAGATATCCACTTGCCAAATATATGGGCTATTTCCCTCTGCTGTTTTTAAATTGTTAGTAAATGATGTTGCCATATAACTAACAAATTATAAAGACCAAAAAGCCCATTTATAAAGATTACTGTACCAATAAAATGGAGTGTAAAACATGGTTAAGTTTATACACATTAATTGCCAAACATAATTGTTAGTGTGCCATATAGAAAGATTAGGAATAAATGCAAAGCAGTTCACACAAATGGCTATAATCACACTTTAAAAATCTATTTCTTTAATCCTTTATCTATCCTTGCCCCTAAGTATATTTACCATACCAGTTCATCATCTTCAAGTGCTTGACCTTATTTTCTACTAGTTCTCTCCCTCTGATACTTCCCAAACATCACCACTGTAATATTCCAAGGCATGTACCCTGACTGAGAGCCCTCACCTGGGTCCTTCAGACGACCTTCTCACCATGCACTCTAATCATACAGATATCCTTAAAGAGTTTCTGATTTGTGCTCTTTGTTCATCCTGTTTTTCCTCCAAACATATTCACAAACCCTAAGGTTAAGGTAGCAAAATTTCCAAACTGAAGGTTGCCTGGTGGGGGTTGGAAGGGGTGCAGGGACACTCAACTACTAAATGTAAGAGGTAGGTGATGGCACCAGAAGAGAAAGGACGATGGTGCTATGACATCCAGGAAACCATCTGGAACTTGGGATAAGGTAATTAAAGAAAGGGAACAACACTTTCTGTATTTTTCCCTCTAACATATTTTCCTTGCCACATACCCAAACGGTTTTCTTTGATTTTTCAGCAGCTGTTTGTGAGTGGCCAGTTTCCACTGCTGAAAAACTCTGCTTATTATGTATGTCTCTGGAAGATTCATCATGAAAATTAGCATGTCAATGTCTCTAAGAAATCATGTTTTAAATAAATGTCATCAACCTTTTTTATCCTTGTATTTCCCAAACTTATCTGGGAATGTTACTCTAAAATGTAACAAAAGCCTTATGGTAAACATAAGGCTAATGTTATTTATCATGTTATTTATTTAAATTTTTTTTAACTTGAAAGTATGTTCAGAAATTTCAAAAAGAAAAATATGAAGAAAATTAACCCCCTTAGAATACTTTCATTCACATACATCTACTGCTAATATCTTGATGTATTCCTTTCCTCCTTTTTTTTTTCCTATTCAAATGATTATCCTTAAACCACATTCTAATTCAGTTGAGTACAATTTCAGTGACAAGAAATAGGTTCCTTTGACCAAAAGTATGTTTTTCCTTACAACTCACAGGCAATTTCCTTAGTGATACGTGAAGTCATTCTTTAGACAGAAGATTTATAATTCAGAATGCAAAGGTTCAAGATAGAGGACTGTTATGAATGTACTTTAGTCAAATTATAAAAAGTTAAGTTGCCTTTTCAGTGAAGAAATGATGATTTGAAATCCAGACCCATTTAGGTCTAGGATCAGGCTTAAATGGAAGATATGCTCATATGTATGTGCTTGGGCTGATATCTCAGAATTGTTGAAGAACCTTCTTTTTTCCAATTCTGGGAAGATTTAGTCATCTTTTCCCCCTCCTTTCCAACTTGAAATTCCCACAAATCCCCATTAAGGGGAGAAATATATAGATATATAATTTTAGGATGTTATTTATTATTTAAGAAATTATTTATTATTTAAGGACATTAAAATCCAAATTTTATGCTCTAATACCAGACTTTATTGATTCAGCACTGGACTCTAGTGTTATTAGAAATACCTAGAAAGTACTCAAGGCCTTTCTACAGATCACATGAGGAAAAGTGAAGATACTTTAATGTTCTAAAATATTCTATTTAAGACCACACAACATGAGTCAGGAACTTCTAATGAAATTTAGCTAGAGTGATTTTACTGTTAGTCAAAGATAAACATCAATGAACCTCTTATGAAACTAGGAAATTGTCTGAAAATGGAAATCAATTAAAATAACTCAGTTGGAGGAAATGTTCAAAGAGCAGATTAATTAGCAAATGATTTTTAAAGTATTTTCTTCACAGTAATCCTTCCCTGTCCATTATAAAAAAAAAAACAACAGTCTTTAAAATTTGTATAAATTTATATACATGTTAGACTGTCACAGGGATAATCATGGAATAGTTCTGTAAAATGAAATTATAATGTTGGTGATTATTATTATAGTAATTTGGGATACCTTAAAATAGTACATCAATGTCAGCAAAATTTTTGATGATAAATAAACCAATTAAAATCAGTCTTTAAAGAAGATCTCCTTCAAACATATACTTTACATACATACATAAATGTTTTATGTGCTTTATATATATGATTTGTGTATATTTATGTTATATATATATACATACACACAAATGTATATCTATACATACAAACACATACACATACTGTATTAT